GCACATACCAGTTTCTACATGTAAAGTATACTGCTATCAACCATATGCCCACTGCTGTGCACCAGGTCTCCAGAATCCCCTCTCCTACCTCCGCACCTGCAACTGAATTCAAGGACTTTCCTGCTTAGGTGTATCAAATGGAACACAACTCAAGGAAGTGTTGAAAGCAAAAAGGTTTTACTACTTGTCACAAGTAAGGAGACAAGGAGGTAGCTCTCAAAGCACTGCCTCTTCTTAGGGTTAGGGGCTTTCATTCTGTATGCTTCAGAACAAGGCCAGGGAGCTTAACACACAGAACTTACACATATTTTGGGCAGCCCTGGTGGCGCAGTGGTTTGGTGCCACCTGCAGCCTGGGGTGTGATCCTGGAGACTTGGGGTTGAGTCCCACATAGGGCTCCCTGCATGGAGCCTGCTTCTCCCTCTCCCTCTGCCTGTGTCTCTGCCTCTCTCTCTCTGTGTCTATGAATAAATAAATAAAACCTTAAAAAAAAAAGAAAGGAACTTATACATATTTTGACTTAAGCCCTTCCATTCAGCTGCACATGCTCAGTGTGTCAAGGTGCTACATTGTTATGTTAAAAATGACTGAAAATCCCCACCCATGGGAGATTCTAGTATTACAATGAGCTTAGGGCAGTTTAGGGGGTTTCTCTGCAAGGCCTCAGCGACTGTCCAGCTCAAACTGGCTCCTGCGATGGTGTATCTAAAGGAACACGTAGGCCCTAGGTCTCCTGGGTGGGAACAGTTTGTTCTATAAAACAGACACATTCTTTCCCTACTGTTGTCCCTCCTTACAACTGAGAACTTGCACCCCTCTGATCCAAGTAACTCACCTTTGGGTCCTAGCTCACACACCCACTGAACAATTCCCACCTCTTCTGCCCCCAATCCCTGACACCTACCACTCTACTTCCTGTTTCTACCAGGTGAACTACTTTAGATACCCCATACAAGTGCTATGGGGATGTATGTGTCTTTTTGTGATTGCTTATTTCGCTCAGCAAAATGTGTGTGTACGTCAGAATTTGCTTCCTTTTCAAGGCTGGCGTGGCTCTAACACCATTTTTTTTCTTTCTTTCTTTCTTTCTTTCTTTCTTTCTTTCTTTCTTTCTTTCTTTTCTTTTTTTTTTTTTAAAGATTTTATTTATTTATTCATGAGAGATACAGAGAGAGGCAGAGACACAGGCAGAGGGAGAACCAGGCTCCATGCAGGGAGCCTGATGTGGGACTCGATCCCGGGCATCCAGGATCGCGCCCTGGGCCAAAGGCAAGCTCTTAACCTGAGCCACCCAGGTGTCCCCTCTAACACCATTTCTTTATCCATTCATCTACTGATGGACACGTGGTTCTTCTACATCTTGGCTATGGTGAATTGTATTGCAACCAATATAAGCATTTTAGACGCTGACCTGACCCAGTAAATAAATGGCCCATGGGCCTCAAACAGCTCTAGGTGGAAAGGTCCCTTCCAGGTGGAGTTTTCTTCAGCTTTGGGTTGGGATGTGAGATGAGATGGGACTGTAGCCCAGTGAGATAGGCACAGCTTGGGTTCTATGTGTCCTGGCTACTGGCTGCTGCCCCCTTTCCATTGCTCTTGAACTTCAGGGGTGAGCATTTTAGGGTTGTGGGGACAGTCTTGGATCTGCTTCAGTTTATACACCATGGTAGATCACTCACCAGTGCCACCCCTCTGCTTGGGGCCATGACATAGTGGAGGACATGAGTCTCCCACTAGGATTGCCAGGTAAAATCCAGGATGCAATATTTGGAACATACTAATGTTAAAGAATTATTTAGGATTTGTCTGAAATTATAATTTCACTGTGGGGCCAGGACTGTTATTTGCTAAATCTGGCAACCCTACCTCCTAACCCACCGAGGGTCTCCCTCACAAACCAGGACCAGGACCTTTGCATCCCAACCAGATTCCCTGAGAATGGATGGTGTGGATGCTTCTGAACTCTAGGCCTGGATTGGAGCATGGGGTGTCAAGCCGCATCCTGGTACACTAAGCTTGTCCCTAAGTCACCTGCTTGACTGCACCCGTATTTTGCCTTGGTCATTTGACTCTTGGCAGTGAGTCTGCCTGAACCCCAGAAGGCTGCCCTAACATTCCTATTTCATAATCTCTTCTTTCACCAGGGAATCCCCAAATGGTGATCGTGAAGTCTCATGTAATTCCTTGCTTCGCCTTGGGAATGAAGAAGAGTAGGTGGCTGGGGCTGACACAGAGAGGGGCAGCTGTGGCTTGACCCTCAGAGTGTGGAGGAGCTGGCCCTTGTGGACACCCTCAAGAGTCTGGCCAGGAGAGGTTGGAGCGTGGGGCTCTCCTGTGAAGGGGAGTGGAACATGAGACCACTTTGAGCAACCTGCTTTTCTGGCATAGGTCTGCAGTGTCTGAGTCCTGAAACCCTCCCCAAGAAAAAGGGCAGCTCTGGACACAGACAGAGGTGCAACGAGAGGGACTGAGGCATCTCTGGGAGCGTGGAGTGCTCCCTCTCTAACCCACCGTTGATTGCCTTCCTGGCTTTAGCAGTTACAAGACAGCAGGGCAGGGAAATCCTCAGTCCACCCACCCAACCCAGGACGGGCACCCTGCAGTCCACCGACCCAACCCAGGGTGGGCACCTTGCCTGATGGGCACCCTGCAATGCCTTATCTTCTCAGGAGGCCTCTTGTCCCTTAACAGACATCCTGTTCCTGAAGGCTGATAAAGAAAATCCTTCTCTGTGCTGGCTCACGAAGGGTTGTGGATGGCAGGGCATGGATATCTTGGGGACAAGGGTGTCTGGAGTTCTGAGAGGAGGGACTGCAGGGTTGGCCCCCCGCCCAGAGGGCCTTGACTTGGAGCTGGAGGCATGTGGGCCGGGGCCAGATGGCGCCCCCATACCCTACCCTCACAGAAATTTGGTGAGAACAAGGAAGTTCTCAGAGACCTCTTCCGACTCAGCTTTCCCCTCACACTATGGTCTTTGTGAGTAATTGACACTGCTCACACTGCTCAGGGATTACACGATTAAAGTGTGTCTCCCACGCTGGCCCGGTCTCTGCATAGGGGTGCATGTCCTCAGGGCCCAGTAGCAGGTGCTCAGTAAGTGTGCAATCAATGCAGGCAAGATAGAAGGTGGATGAAAGTCGCACCCCTCCTGGGAGATGCTGGGAGAGAACTGTCCCTCCACGAGGGAGCTGTGAACAGGTTGGTCCATGCTCATCCTGTCCTGTGTTCAGGGGCAGAGACAGCAGAGGCAGCAACAGAGGCAAAGGCCTAGGAGCAGCCAGCAGCTGGGAGACCCCTGCCTTGAAGCAGTCACCTGGACTCAAGTAGGTGCAGAGGAACTTGGCTGGGAGGTCCACTCCTCCGCCTTCACCTGTGGAAAGGGCCAAGGACTCCTCGTGGCTGTCTGTCCCTTGCTCTGCACAAGCGTGGGTCAATCCAAAGCAACCCAGGAGACAGCCAATGACATCTAGGGCTACAGTGCCTAATAGAGTGGGTACTAGCCATATAGCCATTGAGCTTGAAAAGTGACTAGTTCAAACTGAGATGTGCTAAAAATATCACACACACAGAATATAAAATATCTCATTGGTAATGGTTTTGTATTAATTACACGTTTAAGTGATTATATTTGGGTCTGATAGGTTAAATACAATTGCTAAAATTCTATTTTACGTGTTTATTTTTCCTTTTAGAATTACATGTGTGCGTGGACCTGATTTCCATTGAGCCCTGTGGCTTTTGATCCACAGGTGCTTTGACCTCTCCTACCACACATCTAGCAGCTAGGTCAGCTTTCAGGTGTGGGTCTTGCAGCAGGGTCCCTGTGTCACTCTTCTGGACCAACGTGGCCAAGTAGGCATGGTGTGGTGCTGGGGGAGTGAGGACGGAGAGGCTGGGGTGCAAGCCCAGGGCAGCTGGCCCACTGGACAGGTGGGCTGGCCAATCAGGAGCCCAGGTTCACTCCCCATGCCTTCTGCGTTGTGGTCCCAGAACCTTGGATCTGGATGCACCCCTGGGGGCTAATGCCTACTGCACCAGTGACAGATGGGGTAAACAACTGGTAAACAACACAGTTGCTCCAGAAGCAGATTCTTTCAATCTCAATTCTACCCTCTTCCCAAACTGTCTCCCCTGGGGCTCTCAGAGGAGGATCAAGATGCAGTTTGATGCATCTTGGCACGTGCGAGCCCTTTCAGGAATGCTTGTCAGCCCTCCTTCTGTCCACCTGACCCTTGACCAAGCAACTATTTATTCTTCAGGTCTCCACTGCCTGGAAGCTCTAGGATGGCAGGATCCTGGTGACGTTTGGTATACAACCCAGCGTGCTGGCAGGATGAGGTACGTGGTCATGAGATTCCTTGGCGAAAGAACAAATGAACAGATGAATGAACTGTATCCTGTCCTCAGGGAAGCCCTTCCTGAAAGTCTCTCATCCCCAAATCAGCCCAGGCCTCCATAACTCCCTGTTCCCTCAGGGTCTGTGTCCCTGCTGGACTGTGAGCTGCCCTGGGGCAGGGATGGTGGCTACATTCCTAACACCTTCCAGAGCCCAGCACTGAGCAGGTGCTGGGGAAATCACGAATGAGGACAAACCTGGGCCAGCACCTCGCCTGATGTAGGCACAGATGCCCAAGGCTCTCTGCAAGCCTTCCCACTGTCCCTGGTAGGTGGCTCTCGGCGGGGGGGGGGAGTCCAGCAGTCTTGCCTGTGATGCTGAATTTCTTTTTTATTTTTTTTTTGTGATGCTGAATTTCATGTCTTCATCAGCGTGTGGCTCCGGGTGCCTCCCTCACCTGCTGGGATTCCTTCCTGGTGGATGCTGCCAGTGAGGAGCAAACAAAATACTGCCCTTGAGCACAGCCTCCAGGGCACACTGAGCGCTCACCAGGACCATCCCTATCTATCAGGGCGCCTTTGGAGGTAGCGCTGGGTCCCAATTCGGCAAGCCTGCCGCTGGGGAGGAGCCCTTTCCCCTCCGCAACAAAGCCTCACACCAGCCAGCACAGAAAACATTGCTTTATTAACTGCGTTTGCCAACACACGAGGAGTGCAAAGGGCTCCTGGAGCCCCGGGCCCGGCTGGGGGCCAGGGTCTAGAAACCCCCATGAATGAGCAGGACAGGATGGGGCTGGAACTAGGCGGCAGCGGCCACACAGAATCATGCAGGGCACAGCGGGCACTGGCCACAGCGACGCGGCCGTACATTCTATTGCTCATTAAGGGTCGCGAACGTGGACGATGTACAAAAAGGAGAGAAATAGGTCTTTGCATTAATGAAAAATACATTTTTTCTCTACAAAGGAATCTTTTCTAATACAAGAAAATAAATATTGCAACATAAGCCAAAAATAATTTAAAATTGCTCTTTTCAATATATTTTCAATATTTCTCTTGTATATTAACAAATGGCACATCACTTTCTTTGAAACAAGGACAGAAGGTGTCTCCTCCTGTGACATTCATATCACTCCCCAACCCCAAGTCGTTTGTGGAGCACAGAGTGTTGTGCGTCTGAGGGACAAGGTGGCAGGAAGTGCCTTAAAGAACAACCAGAGGCAGAATATAAAATACTCCAGACTCCAGCCCTGGCTCTTTGGCCAATGTGGCCAGCTGGGCCAGGGACAAGGGAGGTGGTCTTCCCCAGGGCCTTGCTGCAGGCATCCAGACCCATTCTGCAGAGCTCCAGGCATGGGCAGAAGATGGCTACATTGGCAGTGAGCAAGGAAATGCCAAGTCCAGTTGCTGCCAATGTGTTAGTATTGGGCAGCTGATTCTCTAGAATCTGCCCCAGCAAGCCCCCCAGTATGCCCATACACAACACACAGACATGCATGCACATGGACACGAGGGATGTGCCCTGGCACATGCTCACACACCTAGAGCCCAGCATCCACGTCTGGAAACCTCAGTGGCTTCTCTAAGGAAATCGAGACCCTTACGTTAGAAATGCTCACACACGGTCACAAAGTCAGAGAGCTCATTTAATAAAATAAACCCTTCTTACCTTTTTTCTTACTCACTTTAAAATACATTTCTGATCCACAAAAATACTTTCCTTGCACCTTATCCTTTCTTGCTGTGATGAGGGGGAAGGATGAGCTGTGCAGCCAGGACTGAAAATGGGGATGACAGAACGAGGAACAGAGCAGCTTCTCTCTCCCAGAAGAAGGCCAGTGAGTGGGGGCAGGTGTGGTCACGCAGAAGCGGTTTCAGCCTCTGGCCTGCAAAAGGCCTCCTGCCTTCTTCCCTACTTCCAACCTCAATGCCAGGAGGTAGCAAAGCTGTATACATGGTGGACAGTAGACCAGAAAAAGAGTGAAGAGGCTGTAGCTAATGGAGGAAATGAGTGGTGGGGACCAGCATCCTTGTACTCTGTGGAGCCTTGCTGGACATCATAGAGGTGGACAGCTGCCTGGCAAGAACAGCTTTAGGGCCTTGCTAGGGAGTGAGGGGGCTCCCCACTTCTCTCACCAGCTAACCAAACAGATCCCTGGGCCGAGTGTAAGTACATGGCCCCAGAGAGAGTCCAGTCCAAAGCCAAGAGCCAACACAGAAGAGAATCCAGAGGCCAGCTTGGGCAGAGGCCCCCCAAAGAGTGCTGACTGCCCCGTCTGGCCTACCCGAACCAGACCCTCACCAGCCAGGCTACATTCCCTCCCCAGTTCTCTCCACCCCCAGGGAGCCCAGACTCTGCCTCAAGATGCATTAAAGGGTGAGGGGGCAAGTGTGGAGTCTATTGGGCCTGAGCCATTCCTGGCACCCCACCCCTGGCAGTTTGGTTGTTCTTTAAGCTTGTCCCTTTGCTTCCTGCGAGGTCAGACCGGGCAACCCAGCACAAACAAGATTGTGACCCAAAGCATAGGGAAGGAAGGAGGGCTGTTCAAAGGCAGTAAACAGAGAAGAGGGTTGGGCCGCTGGTGCGGACACTGCACTGGCCATTACTACCAAGGAGGCAGGTGGACTAAACTCTACATGGTAGCTTGTGCCATCCCAACGCCCAGAATCCTTGCAGCCCGTCCCGAGTCCATTCCCACTGGACGAATTTGCCCGATCTTCTGAACATAGTCCTATCTTTGCTTCCTGTTTTGCTAAAATTCACATGAAACCGAGTGTCAATGACAATGCCACTGTCGTACCTTGAAAGTTCTGGAGTCGGGGGGTGGGTGGTCAAGCTGCTCCCCATCCCGCTGATTTGAGTGTTGTGTACTGGGGGGGGGTGGGGGTGGGGGAACCACATGGTAAAAACTTTTGCCATGCTGGTTTTGCGGTCAGTACTCTTCCCCACCCCCCAAGAGTCTCGGAGTTTAGGAAAGCTCACAGTGGGCCCAGCCCAGGATCCAAAATCCAACAGCTGGTTCCCGCTTCCCGATTCCAACAGTTCAGCAGCAGAACGGCATCCTCTTCCAAGAGCTTGGGCTCAGTCTCCTTGGGTGTGTGCAATGAACATGTCTCTACACTTTGTTGCTAAAGAACTCCATTAAAAAAAAAAAAAAAAAGTCCAAGTGACAAGTTGTCAGGTCCAGGCTGTGCTGTATTATGGTCAAAATATTCTTTGGCATCCATAGAATGATTCGACTGATTCACTGGACTTTTGCAAGGTTGTTGTTGGAGAAGTTTTGGCTTCCCCAGTGGTGGAAGTGACCCAGGAGTAATTTATAAAAGAAAAAAAACCCACGTTTTCACTGAATTCCTTTTTTGTTTGTTCCCTGAGCTATCACCCTGGGGCCACTCCACTGAAACTCTTCAGAGCAACTACCTGGGACCTAGAGGGTGGGACGGAAAAGGCGGGTGGGTGGTGGTGACAGGGAGGGTGTAAGGGTGTGTGTGTGTGTGTGTGTGTGTGTGTGTGTGTATGTGTGGTGGGGTGGGGAGGGCACAGCCAGGAGAGGAGTTAAGGGCTCAAAGGGACGGAGGAACCAGGATCATCCAGCAAGACTTGAAATAGCCATAGCAGGCCAACACGGCCCATGACAGGCCCCGGGATCCCACTGCTCATTGGAAGGAGGAGTTTCCAAAAGGAAACCGAGGAAGAAGCTCGTCTCATAGCAGGACTGGAAATTTTGAAAAGGCAAATGGTCTGGTCTGGTCAGGTCAGCTGTCTGGGAGTGACCAGACTTCGGCCGAGACTGGCCCCGAAGGAAGGAAGGAAGTTGGAGCTGCAGAGCAATTCTCTAAGTGGGTGAGTCTAAGCCCCACGCCCCTGTCTGGGCACTGGCCCTCCCTTGCAGCCTCCACCGGCAGTGGCGGCTGGCTGTTTGGGAGTCCCCTGAGTAAATGGCACAGCTCAGGAAGGATTCTAGGAACCCTTTCTCAGAGCCGCCGGGCTGGGCACTGGCAGGGCCGGAGCAGCAAGGGAGTGGAGGGTCGCGGGGTGGGCGGGCAGGCCTCGGATGATGCGGGTTGATCAGGAACAGCTGCGGTTCCTCTGGAACCAGCGGGCCCTCTGCGCCCCCCGCTCAGTGCTTTCTTATATAAGCTCGTTGTGCTTGTGACAGTGAGTAGACTCTGGCTGGGTATCACTTAGTATACTTCCTTGGGGATCAGTGGAGTGCAGCAGGACCCCCCAGATGGACCCCAGTGGGATTTTGGGGGCAAGGCAGGGCAGGCCCTGGGCCACGAAATAATGCCCAAACGACAGTCTGTCACCCAGTGGCAGCGGGCTGGAGTCCTGAGCACTTCTTCGCCTTGCGTGCATCTAGCCAGGAGCCCAGTGACGCCGCACGGGCCGGGGCCAGGACCGGGACGGGGCGCTACCACGGCAGGGATGGTGCATGGGACCTGCAATGGTCCCTGCGGCCAGAGCCGTGGAAGGAATCCTACTGTCCTAGGCCAGCACAGAGGAAAGACAACAGTGTGGAATTCAAAACTCTCTATATTAAAAATAAAACCACGACAGAGTGGCAGTCTCAAGGGTCTGAGACACTCAGCAGAGATTGGAAATGGCAGTTGTGACTGGGCTGAGGCCTCACGGGAGGACCAGGGCAGGGGCCAGGATGGGGTAGGGGTGACTTAGGAGGCCAGGACCCCCATGCGGACCACCTCCTCAGCCCCTGCTTCCCGGGGGGCCCGCTGCACCCCACTGTCTTCAGCTTCCACATCTGAGTCACTCATCTCCCCATCAGAGAAGTAGCCATCAGTCTCAGTGTCAAAGTGTAGGCTGACCTTGGGCCTCTCGGCGACAGTGGAGGGAGGTCCTGTCCCAGCATCAGGCCTGGCACCTGGCGATCTCTGGGTTCCCTTGTCGCGGGGCAGCCGGAGCCGGCCCAAGGGCTTGGGGCTCACTGTAGGGCCAGGCACTTGGACATTCAAGTCGGCAGCCATTGGGGCTGTCTCGTCCGGGGTCTCAGGGGCCAGAGGAGGAGGGCTCTTGGGGGCCGCTGGAACAGGACAGTCCCCAGCTGCAGGGCTAGATGGCAGGTGGGAGGGCGTTCGCCGCGTTGGTTTCCGGGCCACTGGCCCTTGCCCTGCCTTGCCTGCCTCCTGGCCCCAGGGTTTCTTGGGAGATTTGTCTGGAGTTGTCCGTGAGCCAGGCCCATCCTGCGGTGGCTTCTTCTTGGCAGGCAGGCGGCTGCGGCCCCGGGCCTTCCTGGCAGGGTCCCCGGGCCGCAGTGAGGGGTCCCGCATGAAGCTCAGCAGTGTCTCCTCGTCTTGCAGCAGCTCCTCCGACAGCAGCCCCGGAGCGGGGTCTTCGCGGTGGCCGTTGTTCAGTGACCACTCGCTCATGGCCATGTTCTCTGCTGTGATCTGCACTGACTGAGCTAGCCAACTGTTGAAAAAGGTGCCATCGATGGGGAAGGAGGTGGACAGGCCTGGCCGAGGTGAGAGAGGAGGCAAGTGAGATGCTTACAGGTGTGAGTCCCACCCTCTCTCAGGAAGCCCTCTCAGACTGTCCCCAGGGAGCCACTGGGCCCCTCCCTCCCTCTCTCCGTGACAGACCTAACTGAGACATCCTGATTTGCTGATCCTTCCTGCTAATGACACCAAAGAGGAGGGTTCACACCATATTCCCCTCTCCCCCAGGACAACACACTCCCAGAACCGGCTTCATGACTGGTGGAGCAAAATGCAAAGTGAACAGGTGTGCTCCTTTTTCAAAAATTATTAAGATGTTTCAAGGTAATGAATATGGCATTGAACTGAGCAAGAGAGTTTTGAGGTTGCCTAAGTACACACCCATGAAGCCAGCTCTGCCCACCACCCCATCCTGGGGATGCAGGGGATGGAGGAATGAAGGGAAAGGCCCTCAAGCCACCAGGGGGCACTGGGTTTTTATGAGAGCTGCTTCCAAAGCAGAGACGTTAGGTAGGCATGTCAGGCATCAACAGGGTAGCGAAGTGCTTCTCGGCAGAAATTCCCTCTGGGGTGTCAGGGCCAGAGGTTAATCCTGGGCTTTCCTTTTGCTACTAGTGGTCCCCTTCTTGAGACTGATGACCTGAGGCTTCCCTGCTGCAGGTGAGGTTTGGAAGTCTCCGCAGTCATCCCTGAGAAGTGCTGTAGGGGAAGCGGGATGGCTGGGAGACAGCCCAGAGCTGGGGGCATAAATGCTGAAGGGAGGGCTTACTGGAGAAATGCCAGCAGGGTGGGAGCAAGATGGAGAATTCTGGCAGATGACGGCTGCGTTCTGCAAGGGCCTAGAAGGTCTACAGGTCCCTTGAGGGCCTCCAGAAAAATCTGGCATCCAGGACTCTGGCTAGAGGAATGTGTACAAGCTCCTGAGCCCCAGGCTGGGGTCTCCAAGTCTACAAAAGGGGTATTTCTTGGGATGCCAGGCAGGACTCTGAGACCCTACCTGGTTTCCTTTACAGCTAAAAGGTGTGAGCGCCTGGGCACGGAAAGGCCTGGTTAGTTAGCCCTTTGGGCTTCCTACTCTGTGCGACGGAGGTGCCGGTAGACCCCGCTGGTCTTAGGTTGGGAGCTGCCCGTGGAGGGACTGTGTGAGGCTGGCCATGTCTGCCAGGCCAGTGTGGCCACTCACTCACCCAGCTGCCCCAGGACTGAGTCGGGCCCCGCCTTCATTTTCTCTTTCTTCTCGGGGCTGCCCTTTGGGCCCTCGCGGCCTTTCCTTTTTGAGTCGCTCTTCTTGCCCTTTGCTCTCCTCCCAGATCCCTCTGTGCCAGGGAAGAGAGAGCAGGAAGGAGGTGGTTACCCCGAGCAGCTCAGCCAAAACCACGATCACTGCAGGTCATCCTAGGAGTCCTCTCTCTCCTGTACCTCCCCTTTTAGGTCTCCTTGCACTGCCAACAGGCCCCGGGAGCAGAGCCATGGGCACCTGGGATAAGTGGGGCTCCTGTGAGTCAGGGACAGCAGGTGGGGAAGAGAGGAGGCACCGCCTACTGCTGCCCTTGAGTGGCCTGGAGAGGGTGGAGGACACCCTGTAGGACCTGGAATGCAGTCTGATCTACATGGCCTCTAGGTGTTGGGGGGACTCCTTCCTGGTGGGTGGGAAGGGTGGTGGAGGTGAGTGGCCAGGACAGGGCCGTCAATGCTAGGCTGAGGAGCCAGACTTAAAGATGGACAGAACACTATCTGAGGAGTTGAGAGACATGGGTTCTAGTTTTGCCACAGTGGTCAGTCCCTTGAGCAAATCTCCTGTTCTACTCTTGGGGTCACACAGTAGATGGCCAACTCGGGGTGCACACCTGGCCCCCATATCCCTTTGGCCCATGACCACATAGGTGTAGGGAGGCAGAGAACACTGGAGCAGGGGAGGACATCTGTAGGTGGAGCAGGGGAGGACATCTGTAGGGAGAGGCCCAGCTGCCAGAAATCTAGCTTTTCAGCCAGAAGCTGGCGTGCTTCCCAGATAAAGGTTTACAAGGAGGTTGAGAGAAATGGGATCTCCTCAGCTCTGAGGCTAATCCCCTGTGCAACCTCAGGCCGAGTCTCAGAAGCCTCATCTCTGACACAGGACCAGTGCCTACATACTTTGGAGGGAGACTAGAATTCTAAGATTCCCCCACTGTCCTCAGGAAAGTCTGAGTTCTCTGAGGCCACAAGACCTTGCATGTTTGACCCCATCAACCCCCCAAACCTTACCTGAGAGAATGTCCTTTGGCCCCCGTTGCTATGATACCAGCCTCCTTCTAGTTTCTCTAAAAAGACAGGCTCTAGCTTCTACAATTTCAAATTGTCCTGCTCTCTACTACCTGGTTCAGCTCATGGCATAAATATCACTGCCCTGGGAAGCCTTCTCCAGTTGTCTGGCCGGTCCTCAACAATATGCTGGTAGCCATGTCCCATCCCGGGGGCCAAGTGTCCTAACACCGAGGGCATTGACTTCAGGCAGAGGCAAACCAGTTTTCACTCCAAATGACCTGCCCTGAACAAAGGGCTACCTGTAGCTGCCACTCAGGTCTAGGAGCTACAAACATTCCCAGACTCAATACGGGGGTAGAGATCCGGCTCTTGACCATGCTTCCCGAGGGTACTATGTGCCCTGCCACTTTCTGTCGCCCTGATTGTGGGCAGCTCTCCTTCTGTAGCTGGATGCGTGGCCACAGTGAGGTCCCAGGAAGCCTGACCTGTTGCTCCAAAATCACCACTGCAGCTCCTAGGGCACCACCTGCCTTTATTTTCCCAGATGGTGAGCTCTACAAGGACAGGAGCTCTATCCATTCAGCCTATGGCAATGTGCCCTGCCGCAGGGCCTGGCATGCCGTCTACACTCAGGTCATGCTCACTAAAAAAATCACCAGGTAAGAGGGAGTCTGCATAGCCCTGGCGGCCAGGAAGCTGCCAGTCCTGGGGATGCATGGTAAACTCTGCCTTCTGTGTGGACATGATCCGGCCTGAACCAACACCTGTATTTGGCAGTGCTGGTTTCTTAGGCCAGAGTGAGTAGTGATCCCAAAGTGCACACGAGGCAGCTTGGCTTGGGCCAAAGTGGGGTGGCATCAGGTCCTCAGGCATTCGTTCTGGGGTTGGTCCAGCAGCTCTGGTTCCTCTCCACTCCGGGCCCAGCCTGACCCAGAGGCTGAACTGGCCATGGCAGCTCCTGACTTATCATCTCTCTCCATCCAGCTACATGTACTTCAATAACAGAGCACCATTTTTTGAGTTAAGTGATGCCCTTTTCACATGTAAACATTCTAGGAAGGGCCCTGTGTCTGGTATTATCCACACAACTAATAGATAACAGCAATGCTGAAGCTTCTTTGGCCTTTGATTTACAGATCTCTTAAGTGTTTGTGACAACAGGAGTTTAAGACAAAAATAAACAAAAAAAAATCCCTGCTCGTACAGCATCTATATTATATGAGATGAGGTCAGAGAGAAAGAACACATAGGTCCTCTTCCATCTCTGGGGCAGCTGCCCGACTCAGAATCAACATGGAGGCACAGTTCAGGGAAGCTCACCACTTCCGGTCTTCCTGTCCCAAGAGTAGCCTAGAGCCACACTGTTCACATGCATCTACTCCTGAACCACTATGGCCCTGGAACCACCCAGGTGTCCCCAGTGGACCAGAAACCTCCATTAGGACAGGCCTGATGCCCACAGTCCCATGTCTGGCTCCTTGTCACCAACACACACCCAGGACCCTGGGAAGTCCCATCTTGGTTGGCCTATTAGTTGGTTATGAAGGGTCCCTGGATGGGCCAGGGGCCCCTGGCTTCATATGTGTGCCCCCACCAGGCCCTGAAGACAGCCCTCCCCTCCACTGCCCCCCCACCCTGCTTGGGACCCAGCCCTTTGAGCGTGTGTGCGCTGAGCAGGGGCTGGTGGTAGGCAGGGAAGGTGCCTACCTCGACATAGGTCCTGTTCAATCAGCTTCATCTGCAGGTGGAATATCTGCTCCTGGAGTTTGCAGATGGCATGTTTCGTTCTCTCGCGCCGTGTCACCATGTAGCACAGATTTCTCACCTGAGGAGATAGGAGAGAGACTTCCCACTTTACTCACAGGGCAGCTACCTTTGACCTCCCAACTCTGGGGGGCTGCCACTGCTTAACCCACCTGGGACGTCTGGGAATCAATTCCTAAGCCCTGAGTGTGTCCTCAGCCCTGAGTTACCGTTTTCTGGTCCAAAACACAGGCCAAGCATAGCCTTGACCCTGTGGCCCCCACAGAGACAGAGCAGGCAGGGCAAAGTGTCTAGTGAGCTCAGGCTGGTGACCCCACCTGCCTCTCCTCTTGGCCTTAACTTCCTGGCCCAGTCTGCCATGCTGCCCTCTTCAAGGCCCTTCCAATGTGGCTGTGCCCTCCCCTATACACACCGGGCCCCAAGGCTCACGGGGGCCTGGCAAGGTCACCAAGTCCATCTTTCTGCCCTCTGTCCAAGGCCTTTTCCATCAAAGATATTCCATAGCCATAAGCACTATGGCAAACCCAATTCCTGTTCCGAGACACAAATGGCCATGCTATACAAAGCAGAAGAGAGTCTGACCCAGCTGGGTCCTGCTGAGGCCGACCCATGTCCACCCGCTGCAGTAGGACCCTAGCCAAGCCCACACCTGCTCTGGCCAAGACAGAAGTCCTCAAGGGGAAGGGCAGGGGGTTCTCCGACTCCCTAGGAAGAGTAGTATCTAGTGCCCAGGAGACCAGTTTGCTTAGCTCATGGGACACAGACCGACTCTGCAGCTGTTCAGGAAACACCTGTAGCCTGGGCCATGCTGCTCCCCATCCACCTGGCACCCTGCCCCAGTGTGCCATCCCCTCACTGCTGCTCTCAGAATATATCACACTGCTGGAGCTAAGACCAGGCCCCCTCCTTCAAGATGTTTCCTTGGTCTGGCATCATCATCAGCTCAGGTTGGAGTCTCCAAAGCTGAGACAACTGGCCAGAAGCTGTGAGCCGGAATTCTGGGTCCCACCAGGTTTGTACCTCTGTCTGTGGCTGGGTTCCATCTTCAAAGCTGAGTTCAGGCTTCACGTCCTTAAGCTACCTAGGCAAGACCTGTGGGTTCTAGAGCCCCTGCCTATCAACATGACCTCCATTTCTCCAGGCCTGGGGGGCAGCTGTGATTATATCTTTCTGCAGACACAGGCATCCTTCCCTTCCTTCCTGAGCCTAGTAGTGAAAGAAATCTCAGAACACTGGCTCAGCAGCACTCTACACTGCTGTCTGCACCCAGCCTACACCATAGACACAGACCAGCACCCTACCAAGGGGCAGCAACCTGGCCCAGCCTAGGAGTCTTTGCTTCCTTTCAAATCCTGGATGTCCTCAGGACCTCCTCGTAGCCACACATCCCTAAGTACAAGCTGTGGCTCTGGGAACTCATGTGGTGTTGGGCCTTGGGCTCAGCAGTGGGCAATACAGTTGGGGAGGTCCTTTTCTTCTGAGGGCTTCCTACCTAGCAGGGCAGAGAGATGTAGAGCAAGTACTGACAGGACCAGGCAGCCCTGACCCAGACTTGAGAGTGGTGAGAAGGCTTCCTGGAGAAGGGGCAGCCATGCTGAGTGGGAGCTGATCACACAGAGGGGCACAGGCTGGGGATGAGGATTCAGAATAAGGCCAGGCAGGGGAATCTGGGAGGGACTTTGCTGGGGGCGGGGTGGGGTGTACGTGCTGAGACCCTGGAGTCACCCTTCAGGACCCAGGTCCTCCTCACTCGCCCCCAGAGCCAGCCTACCCTGAGTCCCATCAGTCCCTGGTGAATGGAACTCATTCCCATCAGCTCCCTCCACTGCCTAGTCGCCTGCATCTGCCTGCCCCACCGGACAGGGAGGCATTCTAACCCTGCTGTGATCCCCAACCATCATCTTGAAATGTAAATCCTCTTCCCTCAACACCTCTGCTGGTTTTCCTACTGGACTAAACAGTGCCCCCTACCAAATTTCAGGTCTGCCTGGAACCTCAGATATAATCAGTTAAGATAAGGTCTTACCGGGTATGAATGAGCCCTAAATCCAATGACTAGTATCACTATAAAAGGCCATGTAAAGACATATAGGAGCCATGTGATGATGGAGGCAGAGATGGAATCAGGAGTCTATGAATCAAGAAATGTTAAGGGTTGCTGGCAATCAGAAGCTAGGAGAGAGGCCTGGAAGCCATCAGATCCTCCCTCAGAGGCTCTAGACAGAATCAACCTTGCCGACACCTTGATCCTAGGCTTCTGGCCTCTAGAACTGTAAGAAAATGCACTTCTGCTGTTTAAGTCTTTGAATTTGTAATGCTTTGTTACAGAAGGCCTAAGAAACTAACATAGCTTCCTTCCTATCACACTTAAAAAAAGAAATCAGAGCCCAGTTCAAAGCCTTGCCCAATATGGCCTCCCACTGGCACCTCTCAGCCCATGTCCCATAGCCTTCTAGGCTCCAGCTACACTGCCCTCCAGTCTCATCCTTTTTGTGTTTAACCTATTTCTGCCTCGGGGCCTTGGTATATAGTCAAGGTTCTTCCCAAGGCTGGACTTAGTCCTTTAGGTCTTGGTTCAAACATTACCTCCAAAAGGGCTTCCCTGTCTACTGTATCCAACCAGCCCGACATTATTCTCCTGTATCCTGGTCTGTTTCCTTCCTGGCAGCCACGTGGCCTGGTGTGCATGGAGACAGTGGGGGTGAAGACAGATGGAATCTTTGGAGGCCTCAAAACAAACCAGTCAATGTGTCCAACCTAAAAACAGATCAGTCAAGGTCTGGCTTTTAAAAATTTCCCAGGGATGCCTGGGTGGCTCACCAGTTGGGCACCTGCCTTCGGCTCAGGTCATGATCCTTGGATCCAGGATCAAGTCCCACATTAGGCTCCCTGTGAGGAGTCTGCTTCTCCCTCTGCCTGTGTCTGCCTCTCTCTCTCAGTCTGTGTCTCTCATGAATAAATAAATAAATCTTTAAAAAAAAATAATAAAAATTTTCCAAACATGCTATCCTCAAACTTACTCTTAACACTAATCTCTAAAGATGGGATGAGGCTCACAGTTGTAGATGTCCCTCTCAAAGATAATCACTTCCTATTAAAATCCAAAATCATCTGAAACTTTACAAAAAATTTTCTTAAGGCAAACCCAGCTGGATTACTGGCATTGAGATCCCTTGTGTGGCTGGTTAAAAACACAGTGGGGTGTCTGGACATCTCAGCTAGTTAAGTATCTGACTCTTGATCTCAGTTCAGGTGTTGGCCTCAGGGTTGTGAGTTCAAGCCTTACATTGGGCTCCATACTGGGTGTGGGGCCTACTTACAAACAAAAACCCACAGATATTCCCAGGCTTGGGGGAACAGTCAAGTCTCTGGGGGCTGAATCCTCAAATGTACGTTTTATATAGCACTGCATACATGGATATATATCCATATCTATACAGATTTTTTTAAAGCTTTTATTTTTAAGTGACCTCCACACCCAACATGGGGTTCCAACTTACAACCCCGAGGTCAAGAATTGCAAGCTTTACTGACTGAGCCAGCCAGGTACCCCTCTACTGGTATGCTCTTTGATCCTGTTAGAAATTCTGATTATGTCTGTTTCATAATATGCAGTGATAGATGAATGAGACATGAAAAATACAATATAGTGCAGGTAAGTGCTCAATTTTTTCCCTTGTAAGGTACATGACACAATCAGTAGTGTCTGGAGGCTCTTGCTATGGAAGATAGGAATGGTTCTTTCTGTGAGAATCCCAACAATGCCAACATACTGTGGTTGATACACTGGCCACGATGTGACCCCCCTTGTTCCCATCTCACCCTGGAATCATCCACAATTCTCTGATTTCTCTCAAGACCGTTGGTTAACAGAGTTACATGTTACTGAATGTTGTAGAATTCCTCTTCTGTGATGGCTTGTGGAGACTAAGTACTGATACCACCTTAGAAAGCTTTCCCAGGCTATCAGGTTCCTGACACTGTCATTATTGTTTTTTCTGATTATAAACATAAAAAGTTCTCTTAAAAAAAAAATCAGAGTGAAAGAATGAATCAAGTAACAAAGTTGCCTCAAACTAGGGATTGGTCATGAAAGCAGGCTTTTATATTTTGATGAAGTTGCTTTGATGAAGTTGCCCCCAACAATTTATCAGTAAATTTTAGAGTGAACGAACGTAGGTGAGGAGAGGGGAGGAGAGCAAGGAGGGCTCCTGGCCAGTTATCTTAGGCTAGACTGCCTGGTGTTGAGGCATTTGTGGAGACCAGGGAGCCTGTAGGGGGAGCAGGCCTGGGCCTGTGGTTGTGTTGGGCATGAGACGCTGGAGCTCAGAAGGGAAGTGTGGGCTGGACCAGCCTCCTGATGCGGAGCAGAGCTGTGGAGCAGACCACTGAGAGGTCAGCCCAACTGTGGTGAACTGACAATCAGGAGGGCCAAGGAATATTCACAGAGGGAGCAGGAGAGCTGGGGTATTAAGGGAGGATGTGTGGTCTGAGTGTCCACAAGAAACGAACTTTAAGACCGAAGGCATGTCTGACGGTGGCCACCACTGCTGAGAAGGCCAGAGGATGAAGATGGAGAAGTGGCCACCAGATGTAGGGAGATGGAGGCTGTTGGTAACCCTGGCAGATAGTCCTGGACCAAGGTGGTGGCAGGAGCCTGGCCAGAGCAGGAAGAAGCAAGGAAGAGTGAGCAGTGGCAGAGGAAAGGAGAGCTGGGGATGGGGGGTGGGAGAGCGCCATGACTGGAAGGTCACAGGGAGGGAGGATGTGCTTTTGGAGAGGGGAGAAAGTGAAACAGAGTCAAATCCTGGAGACTGAGCGGGACAATTCCCATGCGGCACAGTGTGTTCTGGGGGCAGGGGGACAGGAGAAAGGGCAGAGAACTGATAGAGATGCTCGACAGGCTTGACGGCCCAGAAGTTGGAGGGACCTGGTCTGAGGAATAGGAAGCGAGGTTGAGGGCTAAGAAGGGGGAGCCCTGAGCGAGGGGAAGCAGGGGTGCAGACAGGGATTAGGCTGGGGAGCCCCAGACATCCCAGAACAAGGCCGGCTGACAGGAATCTTGGTGGGGCTGGCCCGCCCAGTACCACGGGATTGCTACCAGGGGAGGCTCACCAGGTATGTGGCCCTCACATAGGCATAAGCACAGCCACATGTGCAGGGAGCCTGTGGGAGGAATGAGGAGGGAGACAGGAGGCCGTGGGGGAGGAGAGGCACTTGAGATTGCAGGTGACTGACGAGGCAGCAGGGGAAGTGGGGCCAGGTTTCAGTGGGGGTGGAGGCCCTAATGGGTTGGCAGCAACCTAGAGATGGGAGACACAGGGGTTGAGGGGGCCATAGCTCTGGAGGCCAAGGCTACTGGGGATGAGGCTGGCTTCGGTGGGAAGCCAATTCAGGCACTGAAGACAAAGGATACAGGGCATGGCCAACCTGACAAGGAAGCAGGTGGGTGGCAAGTGTGTGGGAGGAGAGAGTCTTCTCCGTGGGACCATCTGACACATGGCCTAGGGGAGATCCACAGGTCTATCTTCAGGGAGAGGGCTGTGTTTCTGAGCGCTGCCCCCACCCTCTCAAGCCAGGTCATGCTCCCGAGTAAACTCCTGATAACCAGACCCAGAGCCTTGGGCACCAAGCCCTGAGCAGCCCCAACTGCCAGCACGGTTGCTAGGGGACACCAGTTGGTGTTGACAGGCTGCTCATCAGAGCTGCAATTTTTGTGTCAGCTGCGAATAACTCTGGGAGCCAGCAGTGGTCATACCTTCCTGAGCTGCCTGCCGGGGCCAAGGTTTGGCGGCTGAAATTTTAGGAAATAGCATCTTCTAAGCTGACCATAAAATGGGACTTCATGCTGAAGTGGCAGCAGTGTGGCCCTGGCTTCTGCTTCTCTCAGCAAAAATCCTGCTGGGCCTTTGGGGATGGGGGATGACGACACAGGGATCGGGGAGGATGCCCTATGAATCATTCCCAGGTCCTAGCACGGCCTGCGCTCCTGGTCCTCCCTGGAGCCCGTATCCAGGAAGCACCAGACAACAATAACCATGGCTAACAGCAGAGGTCACTGTGCTTCCACCTCCAGGGGGACTCCAAGGTCAGCTACCTCATTACTCCCATTTAACAGAAAGGAAACTGAAACTCAAGAGGAGTGAGAAGTGAAACTCAGAAGGCATTGCACTGAGGAGCATTAGAACTGGATGCAAACCCAGGCTGCCCAAGGCTTCAGTCTCAACTCCAACCCTGCCTCCCTGATGGATTCAGCCCAAGCTGGCCTAGTGCCCAGTGAGAGGCTGGATCCTCTCGGTCACTGGCACTGGGCCATGGCCGGGCCACCAGCAGTCATGGGTCGTTGCAGAAAGCCTCCCCTGTGGCAGAGCTCTCAGCCCTGCTCACTCACACAAGCCACCAACGCGTGGCTGTAAAAGGCCCTGAGGATAGACTCGCAGGGGGGCAAGCTGGCATGCATGGTGCTCTAACTTTCCTCTCCTCAGCCTGCCAGGGCTGCGCGCTCCCTCGCCTTGCTCTCGGCTGGTGCCTGCCAGTCCAGCTCGGGGGCTGCTGGAGAAGCAGCATGCTGACAGGGCCCTCCAACGCCCTGGAAAGTTGGCCCTGCCTCCTCTTCCTGGAGGAAAAGTAGGCTGGTTCACACCTGACTTTGGAGGGCTCTGTCCCTCTACTGGAGGAATCTGCATGGCAGCTCTGGTTGCCTGGGAACCTGCTGGCATCTTAGCCCTTGACCTTGGTCCCTGGCTACACCTGTACCAGCTGACAATGAGGTAGAGAGGTTGGGAGGCTGATAAGGGGATGGCTTTTGCACAGGAAATGTACAGAATAGGAGGTTAAGGGGACGCCTGGGTGGCTCAGTGGTTGAGTGTCTGCCTTTGGCTCAGGATGTGATCACGGAGTCGCAGGATTGAGTCCCACAGTGGGCTCCCTGCATGGAGCCTGCTTCTCCCTTTGCCTGTGTCTCTGCCTCTCTCTCTGTGTGTCTCTTGTGAAAAATAAATCAAATCTTAAAAAAAAAAAGAATAGGAGGTTAGGCCAACAACTATCCTGATGACAAACCCCGCCTCCCCATTCAGGTCCAAATTCAAGTCAAACTCTAGAAAACACATATTCCTCTTAGGTTTCCTCTCATTCATCTTCTGAAGCCCTAGTATTCTCATCAGCTCATTAGGGCCAGGAGAAGCTACTTTGTCTATTTTCCTAGGATGATGATTAAATAAGTCACCCTGGCCTCCCAACACTGCCTAGCCAGCGCCAGACCATGTGCCGACCAGCATAGATCCCTGGGAGATCTGACCTGAGGGGTCACTTGGGAAATAGCAGGAGTAAAAGCAGGGTGTTTGTGCTGGAGACACGGAGAGTACAGACTCAGGGGTGGCCTGAGGACAACTCTGGTAGCAGCTCTGGTCACTGAAAGTACTCCATGTCCTCATGTACCTGATGCCACTGCCACATGAGACAGGACACTGGGCTGCCCAGGAAGTGGTGGCTGCAATGTAGACGGCCTTGCCCTCTGGCCTGGCTGGAGCAAGGGGCATCTGCTGTCCCCACTCTCCACCTTCCCCTTTTGACCCTGCTGGTAGGCAGTAAGCTCCCTCCCAGGCCAGTGGGGTTGTTTTCCCTTGACCAGGTCTCAGGGGAGAGGAGTAGGCTAAAGGAGATCGGGCAAGCCAGGTCCAGTTTCAGCGCCTCCACCTCACATTCCCCCCAACACAGCACAACACCTGCCCAACTGTTCTACCCATTTTACAGACTTACCAACAGAAATGGCCCTAAGATAGGCAGCTGTCTCCAGTCACATAGAGGCCCCTCTACGTTTCCACTCAGGGCTATTTCCTAATAAGGCCTGGGGGAAGGGGAGGCACATGTGTCTGTGCCATGTGTGGAAGACACTGTGACATGACCCCATGTGCTCTGGAACCCTAAAACTGAATGTCCCAAAGAGGAGAGGCCAGAACAGCACTCAGCTCCCTGAACTACCACCTTGGACCAAGCCAAGACCCTCTGTTTCCTAGCACCTAGTCTTGAGGGGATGGGGCCATTGGGCCAACCCATCCACTGCAGGCCCCCTGATTCCCTCTCCAGGGGGAATGTTTGGAAGTTGCAGCTACAGAGGGACAGTCCCTGCTTAAAACATTCAGCAGTTTCCACATACATTCTGGCCCACCCACTGAGCTCCATCCTTCTACTCCATACAGGCCACTGTGTCTCTGGCCTACCCGTATGCCCTCACGCCCTACGTTAACACCTGTCTTTCCTGCCCTGGTCTAGCACATGTATTGGGAACAGGCACGGCCCAGAGAGGCCACAGACAGGGACAGAGGGCAGTAGACGCTGGAAGTCTGGGTTGTGCCCCAGCTCTGATGCCCTATAGCCTCAGGACCCTAGCAGGACCCCCACCCTTCAGGCCTAACAAAAGCACTGGGACAAGAGGGGCTCAGAGACTCAAAGGCTAGATGCTTCCCTATTGTAGCCCCCACGCTGTCAGAGAACTGTAGGCTCACGGCCCCTTCCTTGGCCAGAGCATACCATCTGAGTCCTGGAGAGCCATGGCTGCTAGGGGGCAGTGTGCGTGGGGCGGAAAGGCCTCCCAGGATGCCCACCAGGCAAGGCCTGCAGACGAGACGACAGTAAGGGCACTCACCCTCTCCAAGTCCTGCCGCAGGTGTGTGAAGAGCTTGAGGCGGCGGTACAGGACGTCCTGCTCCTGCTGGGCCAGGTTGTCCACCTCGTCGGTCTTGGGGGTTAGCAGAGGCTGGTTGGCGTTGGCTTTCCTCTTCAGCTTCCAGTACTGGTAGATGAAGTCGACCAGCGCCTCAGCCAGCTCCAGCCGCTCAGCCACCTCGGCTGGCTCCACCAGCTCGTAGAAGTCTTCCTCCAGCTGCTGCAGCCGCTGCTTGCGCACGGTCACCTTCTCTAGGTCCTCGCTGGCTGGGCTGGGCTCCACGGGGTCGGAGGTAGGCTCACCCCGAGGGCCCCCATCACTGTGCTCCTGGCAGAATGACTTGAACTTGACCTCATCGTTGTCTGCTAATATAGTCCGCATTTCCAGGCCGTGGTCAAAGGCGCATGTGACGTGGAATGCTGTGACACAGGAAGGCATGGAACACTGGAGGGAGAGGAGGGGAAGTGTCAGGCATGAAGGGAGCCCTGCTAGGAGCGAAGAGGATGTGGGACATCCCCCAGGGTTCCACCGAGAATCCAGGATGCTGGCGAGACCCGACATAAAATGGCATGGACCCCCAACATCCTGTGGGTATGGAAGCTCTGGCAAGTTGAAGGGGAACTGGGGGAGCCTGAAAGGAAATGAGGTTCAGCACCATATATATCCCAAGAAAATGAAGAGTCAGGTGTTTGACAACCGTTGGGAATAAGCTACATTACTGTGTGGGCAAAATCACTTTGGAACAAGAGGCATCAAAAGAAAGAGGATGGTGATGGGTCACTGCCTCCTTTCTGCAAGACGATCTAAGATGGGGAGACATGCACCTCCTTTGTCCTCTGGGAAGAGATGGGCCCCTTCCTTCTCTTTCCCAGGCAGCTGGGGCCAACTCAGGACCTGCTCCTCCCTCCCAGCCTCGGATGATGGCTATGGGCAGTTGATAAATGTTTCAGCAATACCCCACCCAACTATTAATAAACGTTTATGCTGCACTCACATTTGAAAGTCTTAAAAATGGGCGGAGGCACATCTAGTGTTTGCAATGACAACTGTTGCTAGAAAAATGAGGAAGACAAAGAATGAACCCCTACTTTTCAACCCAAAGACCAGCAGCATCACATCATCTGGGAACTTGCTGGAGGATCAAATTCCCAGCCCATTCCAGGTCTACTGAATCAGGCCTTCTGAGGATAGGCCCAGCAATCTGTTTTAACAAGCCCTCCAGGTTATACTGACGCACACCAGAATTTGGGAACCACTGCCATGGAAAGACTGTGCAGCCCTGCCCTGTATAGGGAAAGCCTGTTAGCTCATCTGCAGGAAAAGTGTTTCCTATTCCTCCCACATGTTAAGTCTGAGATTAGAAGTGAGGTCAACATATGTAGTAAGCCCAAAGATAGTTGCTCTTGGGGAAAGCCAGGGTCTTGAGTACTACAACAGTGTGGTGAGCCTTTGCTCCCAGGGCCTATGCCCCATGCCTCGAGAAGTGGAGATGGAGGAAGGCCCCTCAGGTGGGGTTCTGGGTCTGGCTCTGGTCTCAGGCCTCCATGGCCCATCTATGGTTCTGTCTGTAGCACCATGGGGACAAGGGGAGGGTGGCGGCAGCTGCCCATTTTCCGGAACGTTCACGATGTGCCCCTCTACACAGTTGACCTCAGCATGAGTTCCCGGGCAGGTGCGGGGTGAAGGACCTTGTACCTGGATGCAGGTGCCTGTGCACTCCTTACAGAGGTTGCAGGACAGAGCCCAGCGGCTGGCTGGGATATGCGAGATCTTGGTGATGGGCTCCATCTTCTCGGGGCACCCAATGCTGACCTGGGCAGGAGACAGGGAGCTGCATCAGGCCTCTTGTCTGCTGAAACCAGGCAGTGGGCACACAGGCCAGGGGGAGAGCCCCTGAATCCCAAGACCTTCCTAACTCCAAAGCTGACCACTAAGAGAGTGTGCTAGTGTTTGCTCACCTGTGACAAGTCTTAAATTGTTTGTGACTGTGTATGAGAGTGCACATCAGTCTGTGTAACTGTGTGTGCGCGCCTGTGGTGGGGTGGGCCTCAAGGCAGAGAGGCTCCAGAGTGTGTTTGTGCACGCAGACATGCACACACGCACACACGTTAGTACACACAGCATCCCGGTGTCTTCTGTACCTCACCCCTTTGTTAACAGCACCTTCAGAATTCTTATCAGAACATTACTTATATAGTTCATGTTTCTGGGGAGCAAGTAAAGACTCCAAGGCAGCACCTCTTCTTGGGGGCCTCCAGAGCTTGCCTGGCCAATGGGGATGCCTTTGTCTAACTCTTCCCATTCCTCCTACAGGGATAAGCCAACAACCATACCTAAGTCTGCTGAGCACGCCCACCCCTCAGCCCCCGAGGGTACATCTACCTCCCCATTGCTCATGCCTGAAGATGGAAGGAGGGCTCCTTTCCAGGTCCTGAACTTTGGTTCAGGGGTCCTTGCTGGTTCTGTCTCTGCTGTGCCCAGCCCAAGGCACAGCTCAGAGGTAGTCCTTACTTTCAAGATGCTGCTCTGGGGCATGTTACCGCCGTCAAAACACCCTCTATCACCACAGAAGCCCACAAGGTGGGTCCCTGCAAGAACCTTCAGGCTGGAAGCCCATGAAGGGGAGGGGCACATGCTGACAGGGCCACCTGGCTTACTTGCAGGCACAAGCAGCATGGGGTGGGGCAACACACTCGAGTCGGTACACACAACGGGGCTGTGGCAGAAACTCTGGGGAATGTCACCATTTCGTTTTCAAATAAAACAGGATGACTTTCCAGGAGCCCAGTGCCCCAACTCCCTAACTCACCGTAGGCCTAGCCTGTCACCCACGGTTCCCCCCACCCACCCAGACTCAGACCCTCTATCCCACCCACAGCCATCACAACAGACCCACCATACGCTTCTCATTAGCTCTCTGCCTGATTTCCTTTTAGGTCAGTAGGCTTATTTTTTTTGAAACAGGGAGCCTTGACCTTGGTTAGAACCACTGCCTGGATTTGGAAGGACCCACAACATGCTTCCCTCTCTACTCTGCTGCCTGACTTCTGCCCAGCTCTCACACCTACCACCTGGATTCCCCAGTGGCCCATAATCCCATCTACCCATGGAAATACCACCTGAATTCTATCCAAGTCCACCTGTGGCTTGTTGCCTCAGTTCTTCTCAGGAGCCACACACGAGATACCCCTTTTTATGGAGGCCTGTCACCTTCTTTCCCAGTGCTCTTATGCGGAGTTCTGAGCTCCATGAGGACCCACTTCCCCAGGGCTGCTCCTCCCTGCCCGCCATGTGCCCACCTCGGGAATCCACAGAGCACAGCTGACGTGCACCCATTTGGTCCCGCTTCTGGTGGGCTTCAAGGCTCCTCCTCGCTTGGGGCAGAGCAGGCACTTTGGCTGGACACCCAGGGCACATGTCCGGCATAGCCAGCTGCCCGTGGGCACCTTGAGGATCCCGTAGCATGCCTAGGGAGAAAGCAGGGTGGTCACCAGTCAGGTGCTTTGGCCCATCTACATCTGGTCAGAATTCAGCTGCAAATGGTACCAGTCCTGGCCCGAGCTAGGAGCTCCGGAGCCCTACTGCTAGCAGGCTCTGGCCTCCACAGAGATCTTAAGGCAGACTCCAGTTCTGTGAGGAAGGGCTCAGCTCTGCCCTCTGTTGGAGGACAGTCACTTTGGCCAGAGGTTCCTTATTATTCCAACATTTATTAGTGTTGGACTTCAGAAGCATCCATGAACTCCTAGAAGCTGGACACAAACTTGGGTCTGTATGCTGTCTGAAGATGAAGCCCTTAACCTTTTTTTTTTTCACAGAGGTGTGAAGGGGTCTCCTGGTCATGCCTAGAGCTACTGGCATAAGGGATATGAATAAAGGGTACACTGCCTACCCACCTGACTGACAGGTGGTGAAGCCCCTCTGGGCTCCCCAGGGGCTATTCCAGCAGCAGAGGCTAAGGAGTTGTTGTATGTGCTCAAAGTCAGGGCCAGAGTGGGTCCACTGGCTTCCAGGCAAGTCTTCTGCAAATAAGGCCCAGGGATGCCCCAAACCTGGGAGTTTTGGGGCCCAAGATCAAGAGGGGGGCATGTAAGGCAACACACCTGGTTGAGAAGATTAGGAGTGGTAAATACTTACAGCCTGTAATACTGTTCTAAGCAAATAACTCGTAGGAAGTAACTGAATCCTCCCAACAGCTTACTTTTATTTAGACTTAAGGGAATAGAGGCCCAAGGAGGTTAAGACAAAGTCACACAGATTGTAAAGGACAGGGCCACAATCTGCAATCAGGCAGCCTGACTCCAGGCTTTGCTCTCCATCACAGCACTGAGCGGCCTCCAAGTTCAGATGAGAAAGCAGGAGGAGGACAAAGAAGGAAGGATGTTCAGCAGGGAGAGTCTGAGGGAAGCCTACAGGAAAAGGATGGAAAGACTACACATTGGGCATTTATTCAAGTCTGGGTGACAGGGTTGAGGCGTGGGGCACTCTCTCCATTCCCTACCTCCTCCCTTGTCCTTCTTCTCAGGATCCTGTGGCCACAGTGCTACTGCATGCCTATAGCCAGGAGGACCAGCTGCAGGCAGCAGCCTGGCCGGGCAGCAGATAAGGCCAGGGGTGGAGAGTGGTTACTGATGGGCTGCCCACCTGGTGCACGCAGACGTTGCATTTGTCACAGAAGACCATCTCGTTGCCATCTTCGCCCTCAGGAGAGCGGCATACGTCACAGACGACATCCTCATCATACTCAATGCCCAACCCCTCCTGAGTCTCGATGGCCCGCACCATATTCTGGTGGCACAGGGTCTCCAGCTCCTCCAGCACACGCTCTAGTGTCAGCTCATCCAGCTCTGGTCTCTCTGTGAGGACAACAGGGGGAGCGGGTTAGGAGCCCGGCTTGTCAGGACAGATAGATGGAGGGGTCTCCACTCGTCTGCTATGTGACCTGGGAAAATGCACCCACTGTCAAGGGCCTCAGTTTCATCATCTGGACACAGGATAGGCTGAACCATTCATTCAGTCTCACAGACCCCTGGGGCCGGTCACTGTGTTGTGACTTCAGACAGCTGGCTTGTGACCACTCACACATGTACATGGAGGTAACAAGGAAATCTCTCTGGGATGCAGCTGTATGCAAGGGCGGACCTTCCCAGGACATGTTGGCGGGCTCTAGCCAGGAGGCCCATACCAACGGACTCCACCCCATTTGTTATCCTAGCTTCACTTCTACGCTCACTTGCCCTTAGCCTAATAGGCTTACTCCTCAAGAACTCTGCAAATCACATGCTACTATTGCCCTCGGCTGATAGCTGCAGAAAACAAGGCACAGAGACATCAAATAGATTCTCCAATCAGTACCGCAGGAGGGACTTTCTCCCACAGCCATGTGGCACCAGAGACCCGTCGTGGCCACTGCCCTTCTGACGGTGAGGATGCTGGCATTCAGAAAAAAACTGCCTGGCCTGCCTGATCTCACACTCAGCCTGGGAGGTCACCTACCCATCTCCTTGAGCTCCGAGTTGATGAGTTCCAGCCAGTATGCATCAATCTCGTCCAGGTCATAGCGGCTGCCCCCAGGCCAATCAGGCTGAGAGCCCTCGCCAAGTTCAGAGCTGCTAGGGGATACCTGGGTAGGGGGGCCTTCTAACGGCGGGAGGATCCTAGGAAATCAAGAGAGAGTATCATAAGGGTAGGGACTCTCAGCCTGCCACCCTCATTGGGTCTGGGCGCCTCCAGTGACATTGACCAGCCCAGCCGAGGAGCTGGTGGGCAAGTGAGATGTGAGGCCTGGAGGTTACCTCCTGCTCCTGACACTACCTCCTCCCTTTAAAGGAGGCTGCAGAAACTCAAAGGACTGTGGCTAGGCAGGAAAGAAAAACAAAGGGGGCAGAGTGTGGGTTGGGAGTGGGTGCTGACCCACTGTCTTAACATCCCATGAACATTCATCCTGCCCAAAGCACACCTCTACTGGTCCTCCCATGAGGGCATCTGGGCTTAGCCTAAGCTCCCTGATGTAGATCGGCCCTGCCTGGGCCTATATAGGAGGCAGTCCACGTGTTCTCCTGGGCAGTGCCCAGGACCAGCCACTCTGGGACAAGTGCGATAGAACCAGTGAGGCTTCAGGTCCTTCAGTACATCCCTCAAGGCTAGGAGGCAGCCAGAGATTGTCCCCGTGTCCCGCAGGGAGAAGTAAGGCCAGGCCTCCTTTAGAGTAAGGGGCCCGAGTACAGTGTTGCAGCCCAAGATGGCCCTTTCCATGGAAAAGGTCTCCCTCTTCAGAGGACACAGTGTCTCCCAACACACCTGATCATTCCCCAGATACGATATAACCTGAACAGTCAGTTTCTCACTGTGGTGACTCCCGCCCCGGATATAAAGATGTGCCTACAACAGTGCCAGGATCATACCCCAGGGCAGCCCTCCCTTGTGCCACAGCTCTCCTGAGGCAGCTTGGAAGGGTCCTGGCTGCAAAATGTGGACTCAAAGTCCTGATCCACTTTTTTTTTTTTTAAAGTAAACTCCATCCCCAACGTGGGGCTCAAACTCCCAACCCCAAGATCTAGAGTGGCATGCTCTTCTGATGGAGCCAGCCCGGTGGCCCATGATCTACCACTCAGTGTGCAATCTGGTTCACTTCTCTGTGCCCAGTGACCTTATCCAAAAAAATGAGCTAACAGTAATAATAGTACTTACCTTCTACGGTTGGCGAAGGTTAAATGGATGAATATATTTAAGCCTCTTACAACAGTGCCTGGCACACAGTAAGCACTACAGGTGTGTGAGGCAATATTTTAAGTCCTCTGGATATCACTTTATTCCTTCTGAAATGGACTAGGAGGGCTTTTTGCCTTGGGAGGGCACAGTTTCCCCTCTTGGCTCAGCTGTGTGCTGCCCGAGTTCCTGATGCCAGTTCAAAATGCCAGCTCTCCCCCCCCCCCACCGGTTGCCATGGTTATTGCTGCAGAGCCTGGCTTCCATCTGGCCAGCCCTGCCAGGGCTGAGAGGCCCCTCACTTGCCCAAGAGGCCTCCTGGGGTTGAAGGCAGGGCTGCCCGGGGTTGTGACTCAGCGCAGACTGGGGAGTGGAGGACAGGGTGGCAGTCACATGGTTGAGCTCTTCTGGGGAGGGCTCCGGGGCTCCAGGAGGTGGCCCAGGTGTCACCCACAGGGGCAGGAAGGAAGAAGAAGGCAGGGAGGTGGAAATGGCCTCCAGACCAGGAGAGAGGGTCAGAGGAGGTTAAGGGGTGCAAGGAGCAAGGAAAATTGCTCAGTGTCATCCTTTCCCACATGAGAGGCCCAGATTCAGGTACGTCTCAGGTAATGACTAGTGGCAACACTTCCTCCATCCTGTAAAACAGATCATTCCGAATGGATGCAGTACTGATACTCTCAGTCCTACAAAATCTCCTGAGGATCTTATTGGAATTCATACAGTCTTTTAAAAACACAGACTACTTTTGTCTTGATTCTGCTTTGTTTGTGCCTCCAGCATATGCTCAATCAGGTTTTGGATTTAACCTTTGCCCTACCACCTAGGGGCCTAACATCCTACACTTGTGTGCTCTGCTAGCTGCCACCTGGCCAGACCTCTTGGGGCCAAGATCACGTTCTTTTCTTCCTCAGAGAATCTAGGGTCCAGGGGCTAACACAATAAAAGGCATTTCCGGGACGCTTGAGTGGTTCAGTGGTTGAGCATCTGCCTTCAGCTCAGGGCGTGATCCTGGAGTCCCGGGATCGAGTCCCACATCAGGCTCTCTGCATGGAGCCTGCTTCTCCCTCTGCCTCTCTCTCTGTGTGTCTCTCATGAATAAATAAATAAAATCTAAAAAAAAAAGAAAAGAAAAGAAAAAAAACCGCTTTTCCTGTGCTTCCCAGAGCTCTCATCTTCATCTGTTCAGCCTCTTCTGGCTCTGGCAAAAGCTATCCTCCCAGGTGTGGACTGACCTGACCCTAGGCCAAAGTCTGAATTTTAACTGTAGGCAGCAGGACAAAGGTCAGCTGGAAGAAGCAGATGGAGGGGCTGGGATGTTGGGGAGCATCTTTACTCCAAAAGATGACACCTACACCAGAGGTTGGTCGTGGCCTGGATTGAGTCTTTTGACCACATTAAGGGAGCAGCATAGGCTATCACTCAATTCGTGATCAGGGGGTAAGACAGGTTCACATTACCCAGATAAATTTCAGACCATGAGGTGCACAGACCTGCCCAAAGGCCAGGGAGGACTGGACACAAAGGGGGAGGCTGAGGGGGTCAGGGTAGCAGCAGGAGGGAGGGCAGTCAGAGCCAGCATGCCAGTGTGATCGGGGCACACGCTGTCTCTGGGCCTCACAGGGGCAACCTGGGGCTTGTTTCCGTGGCTTGTGATTTCCTGGCCCAGCCCCCCAGGCCCTGACAGTCATGCAGGGAATTCCCCAGAATTTCCCAGCTTCCTCATCTATCAAATTGGGACAGTAAGATGTACTTTTAGGGCAGATGTGATAATTAAATGAGAAGATGAATGTAACAGGCTCAGCCCAGGAAATTCTTAGGAAGAGCTGCTATAACAATTCTGACCGTGGTGGCTGGGCTGGCTTCCAGAGAAGGGCCTTGCAGTGGGAGGTGCCAAGGAAGATGTAAGGCCTGGGTTGGTGGGAGACAGGTGAGACTTCTCCAAGAGAACAGCCCTCCCTGCCTCTAGTCGGTCCTCTCCAAAGAGCATGGACAGGCCAGGAATGTCTGGCTCCTGTCAGCTTAGAGCAGCCGTGCATATGTGGGGAATGCACCTAGTTGAGCCAGAGCTGTCTGAACACGTGCTCTCCTCTTGAGGTCAACAGATAAAGCACTGCACTGGCAGACAGAAGCCACGTTACTGGTGTGGAAGCATCTGTAATTAATTACCGAGGCCACTGGATGTTTCTGGAACCACCTGACATTGACATCAAGGAGGGAGGACAAACAGCTGGGCCAAGCCTAATCAGGACTCACCTCTCTGCTCAGTTGGTGGCCTGCTCCTCCCCTTCACTGCCCTGGGCCCTTGCCATGTGCATTCTCATTTCATCCCCACCACACCATTAGGCAGCTACTGTTATTAGCCTGATTGTACAGAAGAGAAAACTGGTCCAAATAGGTTAATAATAGTACTTTAGCCTGCAGACATGAAAGTGTGAAACTGGCTAGGAGCTTAACCCATGTTTCTGGCCCTGGGTAGGGGATGTGAGTATACATTCCCTGCACAAATCCCAGATATTCTCCTTCCAGAGGATAACAGAGAATGGTACCTAGAATGGTCCAGAGAATGGTACCTAGAAGTACCATGATTCTCAGAGGCCTGACACCAAGTGTTGGCAGGCACTTAGCCCTCAGGAACCACAGGAAGAACCCTGCCCAGCACCCAATCTTCACAGGAGCACCTAAGCAAGCTTCAGAGTCTGATCTGCCTCTGTAATCCCATGCCCAGCATAGGCCTGGCACCAGTTGTGCACTGGGGGTCTGTGGGCCACTCATAGGTGTGGCTGCCAGGATGCGACAGTGCCAATGTCAAGGGCGATGAAGACTGCAATCTTTGCCCCAAGCCTAGTCAAAATGGGCCTAAAAAGAGGCGTGGGGCTGCCAAGGCCAAGTAGTGTGGTGGGTAGGCCAGAACATCAGGTTTCTCAACCCAGAGACAAGACTTAGAGGGTTTCTCAAGGTGCAAAAGCCACACTTTGCTGACCTCTGTCACTGGAGGCAGGGGCCACAGCCAAGATGCACCAGTGGTCTTTCCAACCCACAACACCAGAAGGCTACATAGCCTGGAGAAGATGTACCCCTGACTCAGCCCTGACCCGGCCCCAACCTAGCCCTGGTAGGGAATCCTCCTGAGGATGGTCACAGCAACTACTTCCTGAACATCTGCTGTGTGCCAGCATTCAACTCCTTCCAATTCAAAACTCCTTGAAATTGTTTCCGAAGTCAAGAGCATGGCTTAGCCCTGTCTTAAAGACAATTTAAAAGCCTGGAGATTTCCCTGGTAAGATCTGCTTATGGGACCCCATTTGGGTCAGGCTAATCCATGGCCAGTTTCTACTGAGCGTTTGTGTGTGTGTCAGGTCCTGTGTAAAGGGTCTTCCATGCATCATTACCTTAAGTCATCTTGACCACTGGATGAAACAGGTGATATTACTACCATTCCCATTTCACAGACAAGGAAATTGAGGCTCAGGAGATAACATTCAAGGTCACACTGAATGTGAGTGGCAATCTGAACCTAAGCCATCTGGCTCTAGAGCTGAGCTCAATCCCGGGCCCTCAGCCTCAAAGATAAACTGCCAGTATTTTTTGAATTCTTCAGTGGTTCATGGGACTAAAGAATCTAAGATGGAATAGAGACAGGCTACAAAGGTCGCTTGCCCCAGCCTCCCCTCCCTAGGGCCCCCGCGCCCGGACTGCCTGGCTTACCTCACCACGGGCTCTGGGATGGCCTCTGCGCCAGCGGGCACCTGCACGCCCTTCTCCCATTCCTGCCGCCATGGGTCCGCCAGAATGTAGTAGTCATCCGGGCTGAGTTGGCAGGAGTCTGGGATCTTCATGGCTGTGATTAGGTCTGTCCGGAAAACCTGTCAGGAGCAGGAGTGGAAAGACGGCCTCAGAGTGGTCTGCTCCACACCCAGGGCAGGAAAAGGTAAATGGAATTCAAGTGGGCTTACAAGTAAGAAACCAACTCAAAAGCAACAATTACAATGACCCATCTTCTCTGAACTCAGTACAGGCTCTGCACACAGTAAATGTTCAGTAAATATGTTGAACTAAATTTACCTGTGTTCTGATCTGTTCAAGGACAGAGTCTGAATGAGAGATGGGAGTGGACCTCAGAGGGAAGGGGAAAAACTTGACTGAAAAATCAGACAGTAGAAAGGCTTTCTGTGAAGGCATTGCTACCATTAAGGGACTGACTGCTTGGGGCATTTCTACAGAAGGTTTAGAATTATGTTTCTACTGCTACCAGAGGTATGAGTGGAGGTGCTAAGGAGTGTAGGGCACCAACTCCAGATGGAGGAAACACCAGGATCTTATATAAACAGCTGAGGGAGAGGCCAGGCCCCGCCACAGCTTAAAGAATGGCTTCCTATGGGTCAGGGTCTCCAATGTCCCTCAATAACAAGGACACTCACTGTGTCCCCTGCTCAGCCAGGGAAACATGGAGCCATCCTGTGTATGTGTGACAGAGGAGGACAGGGCTGCTTTCCTTCCCAATCAAGCCCATCCAAATCTCAGAGCCAGGCCATGAATGCCTCCACCTCCATGCTCTGGTTTTCTTCTGGGCAACAACTCATTCAAGGAGAACCCTCTCTTCCCAATGTTCTGTCTGTCACGCCCGCCTTCCCACCCCAGAACAATCTTGAAGGCCAGCCCCAGCTGCCACTGGCAATGCCTCTCCCTCCCCGTTGTCTGACCTCACTGTGGCCTCCCACAAAGGGCTGTTCAAGACTTGGTGGCAGCTCTAGATTACCACGTGACTTGCTTAGGCACCAACTTTCCCAGTGATCACCAAATGAAAATCACAAGTTGAGAAACCACTTCCGGAAGCACTGCAGGCCTCAGAGCAAACCCTAAATCTACTCCTCCCCAGAAACACCAGTATCAGGCACCTGGGTGACTCAGTGGTTAAGAATCTGCGTCTGCCTTTGGCTCAGGGCGTGATCCCGGAGTCCTGGGATCGAATTCTGCACTGGGCTCCCCGCAGGGAGCCTGCTTCTCCCTCTGCCTATGTCTCTGCCTCTGTGTCTCTCCTGAATAAATAAAATATTAAAAACAAAAAACAAAAAACACCAGTATCACTGGCCTTCCAGAAGCCCATGACCAACCCATTCAGTGGTAACCTCTGCCTGCCAGGGGCCAATTCACCAGCTGTGTGTGTCTCATTTGAATCTGGGGCCACAACAAGGAAACCACTGAAATAGGTACACCAAGGGGACTCAAGGCAGCATCTTGCCCAAATCTAATTAACATTTGCATCTAGCTGGAGAGGGCTCTGGCTTAGAAAAGGTCAGGTTCCTGAAGACTCTATTTGCCAATATAATTTAATTGTTAAAACTAACACCCTAACATTTAATTAGGGTGCCAGTGTGAAAAAATTAAAATGAAATTACGATTAAATGCTAATTAAGCAGAAGATGAAATGTGGCAAAGATTTCAAAGCCCTGATAATTTGCATATCTTATTAGCAAGCAATAAGATGCCTGATACAAGAACACTAACTCAAGGAGTGGGTGCTTCTGTGCTGCCCTTCAGAAGTCCCCCTCTGCTAGCTTGGGCCTTTCCTAGCTGAGGCCTCTGCCCAGCCCAGCAGGACTGGGGGCTGGATTTTTTTCCTTCTGGGCCCCAGGGCAGAACCTAGTAGGGTGAACTGAACCCACAGTAGATTCATCATGGCCTTCAAGTTCTACTGATCAGGTAAACCAAGTGGTACAGGCCAGAGCCATGTCGCTCTGATGCCATGGGGAATCTTGCACCTGGGCCAGCCCATCATCTTGCCCCAGAAATCAACCCTTCACTACTGTCACCAAGTGCCCCTCCAGAGACACATAGGTATGTCTGAAAGCTTCTGCTATTTCCTCATCCTGGGCTGTCATATAAGTACCATCTCCTTCAGGACTCCTTTCCTGACCGCCCTGACTCAGGGAGCACCAACTATCCGACAGAGCCACTTCCCACTCCCACATCCCTCCTCACCTCCCACCCAGCACTTACACTCCCAATAACTAACTTGTATACTCTTGTTGCTTGTTTTTTGCCATCCCCTCTGGCCCCCACCGCCATGGCATCCCCCCCCCCCGCCCCGCCGCAGTCCCATTGTCTGCTATGTGCTCAGTGCTGGGCATGACAACTGCCACATCGTAGCTGCACAGAAAATAGTGACTCAGTGAATGAACAAATGAATGAATAAATTAATGAATGAAAAGGCCTCTCTGGGAAATTCCCTGATGAGTCTGAGCCCCCAGCTGGCTCCTCAGCAGTGCTTTTTACACAATGGCAAGGTGAGATACCTTGTGTGTCTATGTAGAGCTGAAGTCCTCGAGCACAGGGACTTTAATAAAGCAACACACAGCCTCTGGTCTGCAGGGCTTAAAGCTGGAGCCTGAGAGACCAGAAGGCCAAGCCACACCAGCTGGGGAGAGAGGACCCTGAACTAGGGATAGGCATGGCACTGACAACTCAGCAGGAAGGAAAGGATCCCAGGCTCAACTGAATCAGAGATTCAGGAAGGCGGGGGTGGGGGTGGGGGTGGGAGAGAAAAGGAGAGGGAAGAAAGAGTCTAGCCCCAAGAGAGTTCTATGTTTCATCCTAGGTCACTCAGGGAGCAAGTGGCACACTGAACACAAGTGGCCCTTTCAGGCAGGGGACTGATGAAAGTGTGGGAAGCACTGTCATAATGGGAGCAGCCAACACTTAAAGAGCACTGTGTACCCAGTACCAGTCTGAGGGATGTTCTTGAATTGATTTAATAGTAGTCCCTACACCAACTCTGTGAGGTAGATGTTCCAATCATCCCTATCCTGGGACTCAGTTGGGTTAAATGACCTATGCAAGGTCCTACGTGTTGGAAGGGGCGAGGGATCCCAGGCCCTGAACTCTGGGGCCAGCCAGCACTCCTCCACAGATTGCCCTGCCCCCTTTGGCCACGTGCTCAATGCCCCCTCTCCAAGCCAAATCAGACAGCTTCCCAAAAGGCTGGAATGTGCAAATCAGATGGTGGCTTTTGCAAATTCCAAGCCATTCAGTGGTTTTGCACAGTCTTCCCTCAGGCTGAGCTGTAGGGCCTACCAGGCCCTGGTGGCCACACAGATACACAGCAGTGTGTGGAGTACTTTTTACCCTTGGCACTTAGGAGCACCCTACTGGGACACTCTGCCCTCTTGCTAAAGTGGTGCTGGCCGGTTTCATCTTGGAGGGCTCCGTCTGGTCCAAATCTGCTCTGGGAAACCTTCCTAATCCCAGACAGAGTTTTGGGCTTCCTCTGAACTCCCACAGCCCCTATACTGGAATCTCCTGGTTTCTTCCTACTAAACCCCCATGAGAAGGTGGTGAGTTCAGTGAGGGCTGGATGGGCCACAGGCTGAACATGTGAGGTGCTAAACAAAGCTGAATGGCTCGAGACCCTTCACAGTCTGCCACCAGATCTTGGGTTGCTGCCCAAGGCTACGTATGGCTGGGCAGAGCTGGGTACTCTGTACCTTCCCAAAGAGCCTCTGGACATTTATATAAAACCTGTCCTTAAATATGGCAACCTAACTGTCACCCAAACATCCTTTTTGCTTTGAAATGCCAGAGGTTAAGCTTGAAAAAGACTCAATTATTCTCCTAAAACGCCTCTGAAATATTTATGAAAACTAAATAAGAGAATAGAATGGACAAGAACCAGAGACCTTGCCATGGCCAGAAAGTTGGAAGACAAGTAATTTTCTGAGGACGTGAATGTTTACTATTTTTTCTCTCTTATGGCAGAAATTGACAAATTGTCTTTAAAGGTCTGCTGCCTAGCAACCAAGTTCTGCTGAGCTGCTTGGGAGATGTTAATTGTAGCTTCTTCAAACAGTATGAAGAATGTTTATAGGTCTAAAACTCAAACATTAAAAACCAGTCTAAGTGCCAAGGAGCCAGCGTAGCTCCGGAGGGGAGCCGAAGACCATGCTCGGTTCAGATGTAGGGACACTGCACATGCATGGCCTCGAGACTGTCCCGTGAGCAGAGTTCTTGCCTGGGACCATGAGATCCGTGGATGCTGTTGGAACATTTCATTTTGGGACCTTGGTCTCTGCTTCCTTTCCTCAAGAGTGAATTATTGTATCATAGTGTATTTCAGACCAAGAGAGACTGAGAGGAAGTTCAGTTACTTAAGGAAAGGCTCCACCACTTAATATAATTACAAAAGAGGATTATTTGTGTCATTATTTGTTTGATGTCCATCTCCTCCAGTAAATTCAGCTGAGAAGAGCAGAGGCTACATGTCTCCTGTCTATCGCTGTAGCTGGCTGTGGCACGGTGTCTGCCACACAGCAAGTGCTCAAGAAATGCTGTGCAGTGAATGAATGAATGAATGAATGAACCCCAGGCTTTGAAGCAGGACTAAACTCTAAAATTTCCTGTTCCTCCTAGTAGGGAGAGTGGAGGCAGGGGGACTGGCCCCAAAGAGTCTTCCAGGTGCTCTTCAGAAACTGGTCTTCACCCATTCTCCCTGCCTTTGCTTAGGTCCCAAAGTCAATGAAAACAGTTTTGGCTAAGATGGCCTTTGCTTGACCTCTGTCCACACTTGGAGCCCCAACGTAAAGCTAGGAGTGGCACCCTCCTCGAAATCCCCCAAAGGATATTTGGAGTAGTCTATCCTGAAAGAGCCAAGTGAAATGAGACTGCATAACTCATTTTAAATCACAACTGCTTTCCCTGAACACTTCATCTCATTAGAAACTACAGTTGATTTTAAAAATTGTTGGGACACCTGGGTGGCTCAGCACTTGAGCGTCTGCCTTTGGCCCAGGAAGTGATCCTAGAGTCCCGGGATCGAGTCCCACATCGGGCTCCCTACATGGAGCCTGCTACTCCCTCTGCCTGTGTCTCT